CTTTGACTGGCCAGCATCTCCATCTGCTGAAGCAATGATCCGAGCGCTAGAAGTTCTTTACTCACTTGGTGTCTTGGATGATGATGCTAAGCTGACATCACCAACTGGATTTCAAGTTGCTGAGATTCCACTTGTAAATTTCTCTTACCAAAAAATCATGTTTGCTAAAATTTGTTAAATGCTTTGCCTCTATTTGTAGAATTATAAAGACTTGTTTTATTCACCATGGAACCCGGGTTAGTTCTAAGTAATCTAGACACTTAGAGTTGTTTGGTGATCAGGATAAAGAAGTGTAATCATATCTATATTTAATTTGTTGTTCGAGCTGACAAGATAGGATAACCTTTTGCTATCATGTTCATTAGTTCAAGTATTATCCTGGGGATGGGGGTAATTGGGTTAAGAGTAGAATAAGTTAACGTATCTAGATATATTTTTTTACAATTTCACTGACGTGTGCTTAATGGAATGGAATCTTTGCCAGGATCCGATGGTCTCAAAAATGATTATAGCTTCCAGTCAACTTGGGTGTTCAGAGGAGATAATTACCATTGCTGCTGTTCTTTCCGTCCAAGTAAATCTTTTTGGTCTAGTCATTATTGCTAATTGTTGTAAACAAAATTTAATAGAATTGTTAAAATCAATTTTAATGCTGAAGTTGGGAAATATTAAAATGAAATCTATCACTATTTATCCTCTCAAAAGTATAGTTAAACATTAATGTGTAAAGTAGTTGACCTTAATTTCAAATATCTATGTATACAGTCCATCTGGATCTCAGGGAGAGGGATACAGAAGGAATCGGATGAAGCAAAATTGAGATTTGCTGCTGCCGAGGTAATTTACGTGGAGTTTTCCTCTCTCTTGCTATTTACAACCATAATTTCCTCTACATTATTATATATGAAACTTCTTATGATTCTTCATTAAACTCCTCTTCCAGTGTGTAGTATGATTGTTTTTCTGTAGCAATATAAAGGATGGGCTATATCTTTTTTATGCATAAATTTGATCTCTTTTGATAATTGGTACAATTACAGGGTGACCTTGTAACGTTCCTGAATGTATATAAGGGGTTTCATCAATCTGGTAAATCTTCACAGTGGTGTCACAAGAACTATGTAAACTATCATGCCATGGTGTGTATATGTTTAGCAAATTTGCACAACTTACGTCTTGCACTTATGTTCTTTCACTCCTTTCCAATATTCATGTTGACATGGCTGCTTAAATTTCACAGAGAAAGGTTCTTGAAGTTAGAGAGCAACTCAAAAGAATTGCAAAGAGGATAGGGTTAGTCTTAAAATCTTGTGAAAATGATATGCAGGTTTGTTTTGTTCTTCTTTTATTCTTAATGGTTTTGGTTATTTTTTAAGAAAAAACTGGCTAGAATCTTTTCCTGATTTATTGTCTGATGGGAGCTCAAACAGTCAAATTTAAGGATATCTCTTCCCTAGTGTAATCATTATTTTATTGATCATGTTCACTTCTTTTGGTTCACCCTAATACATTAAGGTCGTGTTTAATAATTACTTATGATAAGTTGTTTTAATAATTGAAAGAAAAACAACTGTTTTTTTCTAAAAGCCATGAGTTGTTTTCATAAGCTATCTTTGATAACTTACGTAAATAAGCTAAAAACAACTCATTGACATGAAAAGCTATTTTCATAAGCACATACACATCTTATGTCATAAAATAAGTCCAAAAAAGGTGATTTAATTATATTGTTACGTATACTTTTCCAGCTTGTCAGAAAGGCAGTCACTGCCGGATTTTTTGCAAACGCTTGCCATCTAGAGGTGAGACACTTCTTGGCACTCTAAAATGGATTATTTTATCCTTCATTTTCATTTATATTAACAATTTTGCCACAAATTGTGATAAATCAAATAATTTGACTTCAGTTCGTTTATCTGTTTCTGTGCCTTGTTAAAAGGCATACAGTCATAATGGAATGTATAAGACGTTAAGAGGATCACAGGAGGTTTATATTCACCCATCTTCAGTGTTATTCAGGTCAGTACAGACTGAGTTTGTGAAAGTTGCGTATTCTGTGCAGGTTTACGAGATTTAGAAACTTGAAATATTTAAACAGAAATACTGTAGTCTCTACCAGCGTCTGAACTTGTGACTATTTTTCTCTTCTTCTTTTTGGGGTGACGGGATCTCAACAAAAGACTTTGATAATGATCTCTGTATCTAACGACACCTAAAATTTGTTCTTTTGCAGAGTAAATCCGAAGTGGATTATTTACAATTCTCTTGTATCAACCGATCGACAATACATGCGTAATGTCATAACCATAGATCCTTCGTGTCTACTGGAGGCTGCACCTCACTTTTACCAGCTACAACAATCTAATCATCTTCTTCGCTGATTTGCCTTCTATTAACTGTGTCTTAGGCACTTAATATATCAAGTTTCATTTCAAGTAGAGTAGATTAATACGCGGTGTTAGGACTCATTACTCGTCTGTAAGTTCGGGATTGGGAGCTTTTTGTTCCTCTGTAGGTTTCGCTGTTAAATGCTTATTCTTGTTGCTGTGTCAAACTCTAGAATGTTATTGTTCGTAATATCTGAAAGAGGCATTTGTGGCCTTCGACCAATAGAGTTATTTCTTCTTTAACTGTAAAATGAAAGTTAGAGTTCTTGTTTATGGTTTTGCTTACGATGCAGCTCGAAAGTTTTGGGGCATAATTGAAGGTTGGGATAAAATGATTCGTAGTTCAAACTGGTTGTTTTAATATTGTTATCAAAGTCCTTAAAAAACCATCGTATAGCTGTTGGATATTACGCCTGAAAATGTTCATTTTCTTATGACGTTAGGAGGTTTGATTAAATGCATTATTGGTGAATTGCGAAATTAAAGGTTCATTGTCCTCCTTTATGCAGATACAATAATGGTTCATTTTCTCCCAAATTATCAAGCTTTTAAATCTTTAATATATTTCACTCTTTTTTATTCAACAATTTTTTCATTTTCAAACACTACCCAAGTTAAACAGAGTTATATATTTGGTTGTGAGAATATGCCTTTTTAAAGAAAAGTCAGGTAGGTGAAAAAAGTACATGTACAACAGTAGATAATTTATTTTACTTAATTTAAGACTATCAACATTTTCACTCTTCCACAATGACTTTCATTTTTTGATATTGATCTAGTTATAAGTTTTTTTCAAAGTTCAATTAAATGAAAACACTAATTATTATGACTAAAGAATCAGAGGAGAGTTTAACCTAAATGACTAATTCGTTAGGTGGGAGAGCATAAAGCATAACATCAACTAGTTTATGATTAATCTTTGATTAAAGAACTTAGGTAATTATTTTTAATGGCATTTTTCCCTCCCGATCACATTTCTTTTATCCACAAACACAACTTCAATTAAAAAAAATTGTAAGACAATAATAATAAATAAATTGTAAAGTCATGTTTTAAAGCGTCCATTTTTATTTGAAATGTAAAAAATCATGTATTAAAATACAACACTCTTTTAATTAAAAAAACAAATATTATAAAATATAACTTACTCCTGTACATAATTTTTGAAGTTTATTCATTTTCATAAACTTTAAAACATCACTCATTACGAAAATTAAGCCTCGGATACATATCTTTTTTTTTTTATTAATTTCTATTGACACTAATAATCTCAAACATATGTTTTTTAAAAACAAAGTAACATGTGTTATGATGTGTGTGATATATGATAAATGCTTTGTTATAATTTAAGTTAGTAAAATATTAAGTTAAAATTTAATTCTTAATTAGGAATAAGTTTGGTATTTTAATTCATTTGACTTGTTAATATACATTTATATTCTTTTTTAGAAAATAAATAATTTAAAGAAACTGAAAGTTTCGCGATTTGATAGTGAAAGTAGATTTTAATGTTGAAATTGTCATTCTTCAATATTAATATTCTGAAAAATATAAATAAAGATGTTAACTAAAAGTTCATCCCATAAGCACCATGGAGTTCTTGGTTATCATTAAAGGAAACAAGAAAGAAGGTAACATTGTTGAAAAACAAAATTGGATTAAGGAAAGGAAATCGATTGAATATGCGCCTCATGTGTATCCAAAGATAAGTGCAAGAAAATAAACTCTCCCTATCCAATTCAGTTTCTTCTTCCAACTTTTTAGACCTTCTTTATATAGAAAGGTGAGTTCTCACCCCCACGTTGGAATTGCACAATGAATTCATTAGGCAAAATATTTATACAATTATATCATGTAGATAATATCATTATATTATTTATTATTATATAAATAAATAGATAATTACAACAATATTCAATTCATTGATTTTTGTGTTCATACTCGTATTTTTATTAAAAGTTATTAGTGTACAAATGATTAATGTAAAAAAAAAAAATCAAAATTAAACAACCTAATTTATTCCAAATGATTCACTTAACCTCATTAAGGTTTCAAATCAACAATGAAAACCCGCCCAACAGCAAAATGATTATTGACAAAACTCGATGAACATTGAAACCAAGATTCAACCACCAAACCAGATACTCAAATAACATTAATATTTAATAAATTGTCATTAGGGTTCACGTGAACTATGAAATCACATGATGGTCCCCTACAAAAATTATGTACACACTCATTCAAGATCTGCCGTTTGAATTTCTATTACTTTATTGACAAACCTCTTGCGTTGTTTGTAACTGAGATAATGAGAAGATGTGAAGGTATTTAAATTTCCGAATCTGTTCTTCAAACTTTCATTTTGAAGTAAGTTCTTAAACTAAAACTGCGAAAAATATAACTTCAATGACTGTAAAGTGAAAAATCCTGATCAACTTACATCAAGAAAATGAAAATCCCATGGAATGCATGCTCTTCCACCCAACCTATACAAGGATGCAGATCCCGGGTTACTTCTTCAGAAACCAACACCCTGAAACTATTCTCTTTTCTTCACCTTATACAAGGTGAAAAACCAGACCTAGCTAGTCTTTGAGATTTCCAAACGCGAACTCAGAGCTTCAAGTTCAGATCAATGCCAACTCTTCCCGCTTCACGCCCCCCACGATCTGCTCCACGCATATTCTCTGTCACCTCTGAGTCCTCCACTTCTAAGAAGTTATAGAAAGGTCTATGATTTGGTTCACTTGATTCTAAATGTTGGCATGAGTCTCCTTTATCCTTAAAAAGAGAGGTAAATATATTCAGTTAGCCAAACAAAAGAGTAAAGAAATATTGGACATTCTGAAATGAATTGCAACTTACTTCACTAGCATGGCTAGGTAGCACATTCCCCTTTGAAATAACACCTGGAAACAAATGCATGGGAGGTGAAGGAACTTCATGAGTAACAAATGGTGGAAAATTTGCACGACCAGGGACTGTCATGTCAGAATTGAACCTTGTGTTACTAAGCTCCAAACTGCTACCCCATTTGGCATCCCTGAGAAAGACAAAATTTAGTAACACAAAAAGATAAGTTGAGAATTTGGGCAAAAGCAAGTGATAACAAAAGGGGTTATTACTTATAGTACTCCTTGGTGGAATTGAAACTGCTCGCCCCTTGACTATCATTTATGGATGATTGGTGTTGTCTATTGTAATGAGAAAAACTTGGAAGAACGTGGAAGTTCGAGGGCGGAATCAGATAGTTTTCCAAAGTTGAAGAGTGAGATCGTTTCATGCCAATCTGCAAAATACTTTGATTGTCAACCTCAAAGTGCAATATTCTGATTAAATTTGCGCTGAATGGAGAAATCTTCACTTTGCATCATTGTTACAAGCATGTAACAATAGAAAATCAAATTTCATGCATAATAACATGTCAAAAGATACATAATTTCATTTTTTAAGTGTTTAACAAGTTTATCTAAGACCTGCTCTTATAAATAAAAAAGAAACGTGTTTGATAACTGTTAAATAAGCTCCAAACGCACCAAATTAATGTCAAGAGAAATCTGTTTTCGACATCTGTGTATTTTGCTTGAACAACCATGCAAATAATTTTATCAGTTTGTCATATATTTTGACAAACCAAAAGGTAAGAAAGCAATCAATCTATGCCTCATACCATTAAATATCAAATTCAAATTCTTATCAATCTTCAGATCTAATCGCTGATTGCGACCGTCCAAAGTACTTTATAAACAATACACGTCTAACTGTTCACTCATCGCCCAATCCACTGTGAGAGAAGAATCGACGAGAAACGTGCATAGGAAAGCCAGAATAATGTAAAAATAATGCAAGCATAATTCAAACTGATGGACCCAAGTATACTATGTTGTATAATACAGTATCTATAAAAAAAATTACTTTTTGTTCTTCTGGGACTCTAGACATGTGATTGTAAGAATTTTGGTTTGAAGGAAGCTCTGGATGATTTTGAGGTCCGACGGTTGCGGTTCCATGGAATTGATTTGTCTGCATAGAAATCACATGCATGTCCAGTGAGAAAACATATACAGATACTATATTTATATATATGACACAGAAACAATAGACAATTCCTTCCTTTTGGCAGAGTCATGGACTCGTACCGAAAGTTATCTGATAAACTTTACCATAGGAGTAATGGGAGCAGGGTGTTGATTGTTTGTGTGTTGAATCTTTGCAGAATAAGGCCAGTCACTAGATAAATTCCTGGAAGGGGAACTGGCGGAATCATATTGATTTCCATCAATCGGTTCATTCATGTTCAAATTAGACTTACTTGAATTAAGATTCAAGGGAAACAATTCTTTTTCAGGAGAAACCAGATCAGATCCACCACTTCTTTCTAGTGATCCACATTTACCGTACATAGATGTTATGTCTGGGAGTGTAGTCGGACCAAAATGATCAAATATTGGGGCAGAAGGAACATTAGCTGCCAAATTGCTTGAGAAAGGAGAAGGTAGAGAAGAATTTTGTGTTCCTGAAGGTTGCAAAGGATGAAATTTCAAAGATGAAGAAGGATGAGAGATAAAGGATGAAAATTCTTGTGAATTTCCCTTGTCAGTAGTTACGTCTATGCGTCCTTGCTCTCTCAAGATCTTCTCGAGTTCAGCCACACCTGGTCCTCTTTTTGGCACTCTAGGACGCTTTTGGTGTTTCTTTAAACCAGAACTCCAGATGCTACTAACAACATTCGCACCAGTCCCACAACCACAAGCACTATTACAAGTATTGCTGCACATATTCAACTTCTATATGGATTATGCACTGTCTCTGTCTCCTCTTCCTCGTGCTCCAATCTCAGCCATGCAAATGCATCTGATCTGATGATAATGCAAAATCCAAACCAATCAAAATATATTTAAACACCATTGGGAAATATAGAGAATTCAAAAAAGATCCAAATTATCCATGCAAGGATCACAGAATATAATCCGTAAGGGGAAAGCAAAAAATATTCATTCAAAAACAGATAGCGAAATACATGGAAAGAAAATCTCAGAGTATAGAGTATAATGTGGCTATTACCTTGGTGCAATAATTATAAAGAGTGAACCGTATTTTCAGTTAAGGAAAATCTCTTAAAAGGGTGTGTGATATCTACAGTTGTTTGCGGGATTTTCTGATATCCTTTAGAATCGTCTGAGAAAAAACATATCCGACAACCTAAGAGTTTTTCAAAGCGAGGAAATCCATGCATTCAACGTAATCTTTCTTGCATTCTCGGCTTCCTCGCACTTGTTTTTCTCCTTACTTTGCTTCGTCTCGTCTTAATCTCAGAAAAACTAAGCTTAGGATTTTTTACTGAAATTTCTAGAACCAGTTATATTTTTAGAGGATAATTTTTTTTCTTTTTTATAATTTAATTTGATAAAATAATAATAATAATAATAATAATAATAATATTTTATTATTATTATTAAATCAAAATAGATTATTGGATGGATGTTATTATTTAATAACAATATTATTATTTAATAGTGTATTTTCCTCGGTCATTTATTATATGCAATTTATAGTTTTTTTGGTGGACCCATATTGAATACTATATATAATTGTTTCCTTCTTTGACGGTCAACTCTATTTTATTTTTTCAACCTTACTCTACTAAATCAAATTCACTTGTTTTTAAATTGAATATTAGTAGGATAAATATTTGTGGCGTTAGTGTTTAAAAATATAATCAGCGTAATAAAGATATTGATTATTATATATAGATTTCAAATATCATTAAAATAAATATTTTAAAAAGAAACATAAATAGAGTATTCAAATAATAAATTAAGGTAATCTTTAAGACATGTAGGTAGACAGAGTAAAATAGATTTTTTAAATTATAGATATTGAGGACAGAAAACAACTTTAAGAATTAAAAAGATATTTAAGTTTTACTACTAAATTCTGTGAATTTCTTTTTTTAATTAAAGTAATTTAAGTAAGCAAATAATAACTTTCTATGTATGTACGAGAAAATAAACTTATCAACAATATGTAACTGATATATTATTAGATTTGGCAGATTGAAAAATATGAGGAGTATAAAGAATAATAGTTAATCAGAAAGTTAATGATTAAGATCTTAAAAATCACTTTATATATGTTATATGCACTTATCTTAATTATAATTTCAGTTATCAATTTTCTTTTATACATCAGCTGATATAATTTTCATGAGTTTTGTATTAATTAAAACATCCCCGTAATCAAATGGTTAGAGTCGCTTGAAAATATATATAAAAAAATATTACTAATATCTTTGTAGATTTGGCTCATTAAAAGATATAATTTTATAAGAGAAATGTATAAATAATAATAATTTATTATAAAATTGATATTTGATTGAGATCCTAGTAATCACTTTATATATTTTATATGTGGATAGATTTTATTATCATTTAAAGTTTTCAAGTAAGAATATATAAATCAGCAGTTATTATTTGTTTTCAAAATTCTGTGACTTCCTTTCTTAATTAAAACAATTGGTGAAGTATTAAAGTTATAAGGAAAACAATAAATTGAATTTACTAAACTTTCTAATTTTGGCTCACTGAAATAAAATTTGTGTAAGTGTAAAATATAACTAATAATAATAATTTAATAGAAAAATGATAGTTAAATCTTAACAATACTTAAAATATGTTATAAATGCATATAATTTATTATTATTTTTAACTGTCATATTTAAATCAAAGGTTATCATTACATTTGTTTTCTTAATCACGTTATTTTGGTTTTCTATATTATGTGAGTTTTATATTAATTTATTTAAAAATAAATAAAGCTTACGAGTGAAAAAATATATTAATATAATTATTACTAATATCTCTCTAGATTGTTTCATTAAAAAATATATCTTGAGAAAAAAACACTCTATAAATATAGTCATCAATGATTTACAAATTAATAGAATCACTTCATATAATTTAGATGTGTATATATCTATTGTAATATCAAATATCAATATTTAAATTAATTAGATTTCATGTTGCTAGGGAATAAAATTTATGTGAATATCAAAAAGAAATATGTTACTGGTATCTTTTTAGAATTGACTCATTAAAAATATATTTAAAGTAAAGTATAAATAAAAAAATATAATCAGAAAGTTCATAATTAAGATCTTAACTATCACTTAATATATAAACTAGAATCACTATTTTAAACAATAGTATATTAAGAGGCCACTGGAGTATTTGTAATAGTTTTTATCTAATGAAAAGGTTATTTTATTAACTGTTATCAATTTTTTAAGGGTGTGTTTTCCGTAAAAAGAAATTATGAATACAAAATTTAAATAATTTTTATTATAAATTAAAATTAGTATATATGTAAATAAAAAATTTATATTAACAAAAATAGTAAAATGAATATAAACAGAACAGTACATTAATTTATTTTAATTAAGATTTTATACTAAATTAAAATTAACCAGCACTCAATATTTATAATTAATTCGAAATGAAAAATCAACATTTCTTATCTACAATATAAAGTACTTTTGTCTACGTAATAATTTTTTATTTATTTATAAAAATAAACAATTTACACATTCAATTAAAATGTTATATAATTATAATTATAATGAGATTCTCGTTATAAAAGCTTAAATTGTATGTATTGGTGTTTAAGTTCAATTTTGCTAAAGATTTATTTCGTGAGTTACTATAATTTTGGTTATCATTATCTGTTCGAGATATAATTGTATATGTGTTAATAAATTGAAAGGGTCAACTGAATATTAAATAAAAGGATATATTTAATTCCAAATTTGTTTCAAAAACATAATTTGGTTATTTATATATTTTTAGATTTTTTTAATAAAAAATAGAATCAAAGAATATTAAATATGTATTGGTTAATTTTATAATATTGTTTCAGTTTTATAAAATGAAATAAATTTAGTTTTCTATTGAACTATATAAATAGTTATTTATTTTAAATAATATTACTTTTTAAAATGTTTACTTTGTAATTTTTGAAACTTTAAAATGTTTTCTTTAAAAAATTCTCGTACTTTAGAAAAAAAAATTATATCCAAAAACGTCTTAATACTTTTGGTGTTAAGTATATTATTTTTATTATATCAAAATTAAAAATAAAGAAAATTTTATTTATGTATTTTTAGATTAATTACATATTCATAAGATCTAATGTTTTTTAAACGTGAAATTTATTGGATAAAATAAATATTACTAATTGAGAAATATTATAATATGTGAAATTTATTGGATAAAATAAATATTTACTAATTGAAAAATATTATAATATATTATTTTTTTTAATAAATAGAATTTCACTTTATGTAAATTTAGGAATTTTAAAGAATCATTGAATTAGCCACTAAAATTAAGGTAAAAAGAAAAAAGAATAGTTTTTTCACAATTTTTGTAACATTATAAGTTAAAAGATCTAGATTTGTAACACTCTCTTACTTTAATTGTTCTAAAATATAATTTATTAAAATAATATATCAATTTATATTATTAACTTGAAATATATATATATATATATATTAAATTGTTGACAATGATAATTTTATTATTAAATTTATTGAAAGATTTTATTTAAAAATAATAAAATAAGAAATATGACAAGTCAACCGTCGGCCGATCCTTTGGCGAGGCGACCGAGACTTGTAACCGTCATAACTATAGCAGGCTAGCCCGCTCCGCCCTGTCTTTGGTCAACCAAAAGCGGGGGAAGGGGCAAAACGAGGCGGGTTGACTCATTTTGTCATCCCTAAATGAAAGTGAGAATTATTATGAAAATTATTTTCTTGTATAAGTTTTGTGAAATTAGTTTGAACCTATATTTGCTCAAATATGTTAGAACCTAAATAAATTAGTAAAAGAGATTGGGATTAAAATAGTTGAATGAAATATGTTTTTGGACAAGAATTAGGGTAGTTTTGTTTTAAATTAGGTTGTGTATCAAAAAATTAGTTTAGTACATTTTTACAGGGTTATCTTCACTAGTACAAAAAACACTTTTAACATCGGACTTTTTACATCGGTTGTTAAAGAACCGATGTAGAAATATTTTTAAAGCCTTTCCACATCGGTTCAGATGGAAACCGATGTAGAAAGTACTTTCTACATCGGTTCCACCATGAACCGATGTGGAAAGTGCTTTCTACTACGATTTAAAATAATTCGATCGGTCATAAACTCATTCGATCGATCATCCGGTTCGATCGGTCATAAAGCCATTCGATCGGTCATCGATATACTATTTTACTTTCTAATGTGGTTGTATATGTGGTTGTATACAGGGAATTGAAAAATGTGGTTGTATATGATAGCGGTTAAATCTTAACCGCTATTATAATAGCACTTCTAATAGCGGTTAAGTCTTAACCGCTATTATATAGCACGTCTAATAGCGGTTAAATCTTAACCGCTATTATATATATTCAAATATGATCGATCATTTGAAAATGTAATCGATAATAACCAAAAAATGTGGATGTCGCTCGAGCGAGACGGTGTCGCTCACGCGAAAAACCACCCGAGAAGGCCAATTTTGTGCGGGTGGCGTCGCTCGAGCGAGACCGAGTGTCGCTCAAGCGAAATACAACCCGAGAATTCCAATTTTGTGCAGGTCGCGTCGTTCGAGCGATCTTATTGTCGCTTGAGCGAATGTTGACCTGCGTAAACGTCGATCAAAGTTAGCCGGATAATGTAACATGAGAGACCTCATGTTAGAAACGGATGTCGCTCGAGCGAGTATAGTGTCGCTCAAG